CCCCCCCCCCTCAGGTGACAGTTGCTTTTGTACCTGTGGAGTAATACTGCAGTACAGGGTCCATGCAGAAAGACTTGAAAGTCCATGTGAGAATAACGTTTTGGGGGTTTGCAGAGGTGGAGTAGTCGCAGCGGAGGACCACTTTGGCAAACAAAAGCGTGCTGTACTGCGTGTAGGGAACGATCACCTGAACGCATACTGACACTGCAGAAAGACAACAGACAGAGAGTTAACCACATATAGTATTATACAATGATCCATTAGGTTACATTATTTATCAGCAAAAGTCCAGGAAGAAGAATAGAGGAAAGGAGACAATGAGTGAGAGCTACTATGAGCCAAGGAGTTAATGTCAAAGTAGCAGGACCAGAAAAACAGGTGGCACAGACAAAGACACAGGAAGTGGCCTACTGTGAAACTACCAAACAAACACTGAAAAGGTGGAATGAAACCCGATGAGTTCATCTAAGTGTGCGCATAGCGCAGTGACTCTTTCCAGAGTGGAAATAAAGAAAATCGTTGGCTTATCTTTAAAGAGTGACTCAATGGTCAGGGTCCCAAGTATCTCTAAAGTGACCCAAATATTAATAATCTCCGACAGACAAATGTTTAAATCGGTTATAAAGACGAGTAACACATAATTTGCTTAACCAACTATGAAACAAGACGGTCATGTTTGATTGCTTCATGTAAACACCTGTGTCATGTGACCGATACTTAAACTTATGTTCATTTTTGTAAGTGTTTTTTTTAACATTTTCTTGATAAACTGGTTTAGTACACTTGTTTTTACACAAACATGAAGGTAACATGTAAAAAAAAAAAAAATTACCTTTCAGAAGCGACAGCAGTACGACAGCGACAGGAAGTCTCTCCATGATTACCAAAGGGTACAAACCCCCTCACCCCAAAACCTTCGGCTCCAAATACAAACAGAGAGGCAACACTCCCAAGATTAAAATAAAATAAAAATAACCACAAAAAACTCCACAAAACACGAGTTTCTAGCTTCACTTTGGCCTAACCAAAACTGCTCATTGTTTCCGCCTACGACTGCCACTGAAGAGTAGCCAATGTTTGTAGCTGATCCCTGAGACTGAGCACATCTGTGGCTCCACCCCGAAACAGGTGAGCTTTCCTGTGGCGTAGGCAGGTATAAAGCAGGAAAATGCCATGATCATTTGCAAGCGCATAAACAGATACTACCTGTAACATCTCACTGATCTTATCTGATTTTCTCTGGCTGTAGGAGTATTTTGTTTGTATGACACTGTGACAAATGTGTTCTGAACTCTAGATTCAATCTTTTGACTGGGCTGGAGAGAAACCATCCCTGGATTAGGAAAAAAAATATGTTCAGCTTATTCCTACTAAGCAAATATTTGCTCTTCCAGTGTTAGGAAATGTTTTTCGAAATCCCTTCAAAACAGCCGTGTGACTCATGAATGAATAATACAGGGGAGGGAAAAACTGAAGCTGGGCTTTGCTCTTCATGCCTTTGTTTCCTAGACTAATCAAAGTCTTCTAGTCTTTCATAAAAACCTCAACAATAATAATCTGTGTTTTAGTGAAAAAAATTACACTCATATAACTACACACAGATCCAACCTCTTTGGTATGTTCATATTCAAGTGTACTTACCAACTGCGCTTGTGTAAAACTATTGTAGCTTAACTGTTCTGAATGATCAGCATCATAATTTGTGAAGTGTGTGAATGTGTGCGTGAATGGGTGGATGACTGGATATGTAAAGCGCTTTGGGGTCCTTAGGGACTAGTAAAGCGCTATATAAATACAGGCCATTTACCATAATTTCTTCTATTCCAACTTCCAAGTGGAAACAGGTCTAATTAACCAAGTAAGTGAAACTGGAACAATTCACTGGGTTCATGAGTTGTGCACTGACATGTTTATTAGTAGGCGTCAGGGATTAAACAAGTGTCATTATTTCCAAGTTACAAGTTAACTAATGATTTGCACTGGCTCCCTGTCAAATACCATGTTGAATTTAAAATGTTGCTGCTTACCTTTACAATCATAAACAATATAGCGCCTAGCTATCTCATTGAACTCCGTAGACCATACACCCCTGGGAGAGCCCTCAGATCATCAGCCCAATTACTCTTGGTACAGCCTAGATCTCGGCTTAAGACCAGAGGTGACCGTGCATTTGCCCTGGTTGCTTCTAATTTGTGGAACAACCTTCCCATTGCTATTTGTGCGTCCGACTCCATCCAAACATTTAAATCATGACTAAAAACTCACTTATTTAACCTTGCTTTTCCAGTTAGTTAATACTCCTATACCATCTTCATTTTATGTGCTTACCATTATATATATATCTCTTCACTTGATATCCATGTGTTTCTATTGATTATGATGTGATATTGACTCTTTATTTAACTTTTATTCTTGCCCAATTAGTGCCATTGACCCGCTAGCATACTCGGTACATTGCTAATGGTCTTTAATTATTCATGTTTTAATCTGCTGTACTATTGTGAAGCACTTTGGTGTACCCTTGGTCTTTAAGTGTGCTATATAAATAAAGTTGTTGTTATTAATTTATTGGATTAAGATCACATAAGAAGCTAAATGACTGTCGTACTGACCAATTAACTCATTATGTGTGTAGCCTACTACAAGTGTTTGTTGTGCGTTTGTAGTTAGATGGAAAGTTGCTCAGTTCTGGCACAGGCCTGCTAGTTTTATGTGCCCCCTTATTACTTTAATCCTGACAGTACATAAATATACAGTAAATGCAAAGCAGCTGCTGATTGCAGTTCATGTTCATCAGTGTTTGCTGAATTCATTTCTGAAGTTGAGTCAGCGAATTACATTTTAAAGCCGTAAGCACTTATATATACACACATTACAGTACTTATTTCAACTTCAGTTAATTCATTCAAATCATAAACACACAAATAGACTTTAGATAAAAAAATAGTAATAACAATATTTAAACAGATCCAGTGTACAAATAATTTCATAATTCTGTTCACATTTCTTTATTTGTGGGTTTTTTGCTTTTCTGTTTTCCCTGATCGTTGTTATGCCTTTGTGAGTGAGGCTGATATTGTTGCACTATGTCCGTCTGGTCCTCGAAGAACTGCTTGACCTAAGGAAAAGACAGTGGGGAGGTGTGTGTTACAATCTTCATTTTAATGTTTCACTGTCAGCTGCTCACCGTCTCTGCTCTGTGAAGGTACACACCTGCTCCAGCTGTTTCTCAGTGTCATTCACATCCACACCTTCCTCTCCTCCTACCTGGCCACCAGTCATTTCATACAGATTTAAAATTGCCATCTTAATCTGTCCCAGCTTCAGTGTTTTCCTGGCAGCCGTTTCCTGTATGTTATTCCATTTCTTCTCCTGCATGAACACAGGACAACCAGAGTTCATTCAGAAGACGCCAACATCTAAGGCCGTCTTAGCACTGAAGCTGGGATTTTGATCCAGGATTATGTGTCATACCCATATTAGACCTTCAGAGTGAGTTTTCTCCAGCTTGGTCTGGAGCTGAGACAGCTGGTTGTTCCTCTGCAGCAACAGCAGGTTGTGCTGTTGCTCCAGTGTCAGCAGTGCTTTTCTCTGCTCGTCAGCCTGCTCCTGTGCCTTACTCTCCCTCTCAGAGAGCTGGCATCTGAAGTGGAGGAGACTCTCTAAATGATCCGTGAGCGCCGCCACATCTTTAAACTGCAACACAATTACACTCTCATTAAGGATGTAGCCCGAAAAGCAAATTACCATCTATGTCAAACATGCCAGAGTTTGCCTGCGATCTGAAACAAATCCACTGCTATCATCAGCAATCGTTACCCCAAATCCCAAAAAAGATGGGACGGACTGTAAAATGCAAATACAAACTGAATGCCGTGATTTGCAAATCCCATAAATCCATATCCATCACATTCAAATTGAGCTGATATTTTTTATGAGACAGTCAAATATCTCACTTTATCCATATATGTTAAAAACAGGCATTAAAGCATCAGATGATGTACTGAATTGAGAATAATATTTGTCACATTTATTGTAATACTTGTATTCAAAAGCTACAGTACCTTAGTTATTTTGAGCAGCTGCTCCAAGAGATCTCTGTACACAGAGTGTCTCTTCACCTGATGCTCGAGCTCCTGTTTCTCCTCAGTCAGTTTGGCCAACTGCTCCTTCAGCCTCTCTATCTCCGCCTCTTTTTGAAGCACCCTTTGTCTCTCCTGCTCTGCTTTCTCGATTGCTCGATTAGCTTCTTCATCCTAGAAGCAGATTGAGGGCCTTACTTTTTTGTTCCTCCCATAACATTTATAGCATGTAACGTGATCTCCTGTCATACCTTGTGATACATGTCAAAGCTTAAATGCAGGTCTTGCATTTCCTTTATCTTCTTGTGCAACTCCTCTTCACGCTGTTGCAAACTCTCCAACACCTACATAAACCCACATAATAGGGTTAAAAATAAATAAATTATGCCAAAATTTGTATGAGACTTTTGCTACAAGAAGACAAGTATGTCGCAGTTCTGGGCTGTAATGAAAGTACAGTTTAGAGATACTTATATTTTACTTGCAAATCTGAATTCTTATGCTGTCCTACTCTTCTTCTTCCCTCTGAAATTATGAGCATGGGTAGCAAAATTAAGATATTTGTATACAAAACATATCAAGTGCTTATAAAATTAGTTACTGTACATTAAGTTGCACTGTTTAAAACAATTAAGACAAACATTTGATCATTAGAGTAAAACACAAATTTAACGATCTCCATCTGTCCAGTTAGGAAGCATAAACCAATGTGAATCAATTTCACCTGCTTTAGCCCAAATGAAAGTGACAACAGGTACACTGGAGAGGCACAAATAAGACATGTCTCCAAAAAGGGAATGGTTTTGCAGGTGGTGACCACAGACCTCTGTTCTTGTCAGGAAACACCAAAACTGGCACTGATTCACACTGAGCATATTTTACACACGTTAAAGAGTCTGGAGACACTATGGCAAATGTTATGCTGCCTGCAACATCAACCGGCATGACTGGTTTGGCAGTGGGTGCATGATAGTGTGAAGATGCATTCATATTATTTGTGAATTTCAATCCAGTTGGTCCCCCTAAACGAGGTGGGTCCCTCATGCCTCCCTCATGGAGTCTGATTCTGATAGTTTGTTCAGAAACATGCACAAGTAGCATACTGGAGGTCATTTTGAAGGGCTTTAGCAGTGCTCCTCCTGTTCCTACTTAAAAGTGCAGATGCTGGTGCCCAGCTGGGTTGATGCCCTTCTACAGCCCTCTGGCATAGCCAATCTCCTATTATCTCTACTACTAAGACTATGCTGGGAGGCAACAGGCTTCTTTTTGTCTTGGGGGGGCACATACAGCTCCTCCAATGGGCTGAAGAAGGAACCATCTCATGCAACCACTACTGACAAGGACACTAGCAAAAACTAAATGTACAGAAAAATCTCTCAGGAATAAAGAGAGGGCAATGGCCTGTGACCACCACCTGCAAGCTGCATAGACGTTTAAATTCATTAGTGTTGTACTGCAATGAATGATCCCTTAATTCTTTTAAAGATTATGGCATTTATATGAATAGTTCCTGATATATCATATAATATAGTCATACACTTTTACAGCAAATAGATTTTATTTATTATTTAGATTTTATTGTTAACAACACTGAATGATGGGACAGCCCTGCCACTGCCTTTAAGTGGCAGATAACTGGCTGTTTAGATAATTGTTTAGGAATTAATAGATGCTCCCAATAAAGTGCTCTTAATTCGTTTGATGAAACTTAAATACATTTGTTCGTTTTTAAGATAAGAAATACTTAAACATTCAGTATTGTTACAGTGCGTTGGTAAAGTTCACACTACCTTTCATACTGATCGTTCAGCTATCGCGAGAAGTGACTGCCTCGCGTCTCGAGAAATAATTCCGCACCTGTTTGCTTTCCTCGTACTTAGCTTTGAGCTCTTCCTGCTCTCGCTGTAATACTTGTAGCTCTACGAGGACATAGCTACTGTCGCGTCCCGCTGCTGTCCACATCCTGTTCACACACAAGCAGCGGCAGAAAGTTAGCAGCACTGACCGCTCAGATTGATGTTGGCTGGGCTTCACTCGCTCGGACGGGAAGAAGCAGCACACAAACTCACCGTGAAGCCGACTCCTCAGGCGTTAGCTGCGAGAACATGACTTTATGTGTTGTTTTTTCAAATTTCAGCCAGAGTAAACCGTACGGTCTCCAAGTTTTACTCTCCTTCCTGCAGAAGACTCACGACTCTGTATAGCGTTTCTATGGTAACAGTTCTGGGAACCTTTAAAGGCGCAGGTCTCCGCGGCAGCGGCTAAAGTTGGTGCTGCAGCCGAGACCCGTAGAAAACTGCACCATTTTTGTGCATTTCATTTTATATCATACAAATGGAAACCTGCAATCATTTACATTGAATACGTAAACATTTGTAATTAAATTGTTGACTAAATAACTGAAATGCTATTGATTAAACAGGTAGATTTCTAGGTGTTTACCACTTGTTTAACCTACATCTGCAGTTTAATCAGAATTAACTGACAGTAACCAAACAGTCCACTGATTGCCATAAGATTTTTGACCAGAAACAGTTGGTAGCTAATTACTTCCATCCACACCAAACCTTTAAGATCCATCCATGGCGTATGTTGATGTCATATTCCTTTGCAGCCATGCTTCATTACAGATGAGAGTTGCTCAACAGCATTCCTGACATTTCACAAGCTGTGAGTGGTCACTGAACCCTCCCATCACAAGCATGCAGTGAAGGAGCTCACATAAACTCACAGAATAATAGCTCAAAAAGTGAATTATTTCCTTCCTATTAATATCTTAAGTAATTACAAATTGTATCCAAATCTTTCACTTGGGTAAAAGTGCAACAGTAATGTAAACGTGCTACACGGCCACTTTTAAGTAAGTCTTTTTCTTTTTTAAGTCTTTATCAGAAAGAATTAGACATGAAGGGGAACATTTCATTCTTTGGCCCAGAGTAGTTCTACTGTTCAGTTCTTATTTATTTATTTGTACTGAACCTTTATGCAGCAATCACAGTGTTATGGGAACATTATGGTTCAGTGGTGGCAGTCTGTGGGCAGAAAGTCAAACTGCATCAAAAATATGTGGTACAACCAGTCAGTGGGCTAATCTTGCTTGTGCTGTTGTTGGTCCATCAGCCACCCATGGTGAAGAATGAAGTTATACAACAAGTGAAAAGTGTCTACAGCAGCCGCTGCTTGTACCCTTCATGTTCTATTTTTTTGGTCTTTGATGGTCTTTTTGTGCTTCATCTAGATTGAGCGATGTGCAGCTGGGATTTTGGAGGACTCAATGGGAACATATCTGCAGTGGTTGAAAGCCCCTCTCTGTAGGCAAATACTAATGAAAACGGACACAAGTGTAATAGTGCAAACTAAGCATAATTCTACCTGTCTTGGATCTCCAAGGCTGCCCCTCCTTAAAAGCCACCTTTGTTTTGACTGGCTGCTCCTCACCTGCTAAACCTTCCCTTTGGAGGTGTGGCCAGATAACAGAAATCGCAACACACTGACGTCGGCTTGGCACGCAAACAAAAATAAACCCAAAAAAAGAAAGAAAAAGCTTTCAATGAAAGTATTTCTTATGCAGGATTATAGATTTGATGATGTGTTGATTAGTATGGAAACAAATAAATGGCTATTATTGGTTTGTTTACACAGACATGTTTTTAGATGGACAACATTTTATAATCTCAACGTTCTGGTTAAGGTTTAAAATATTTATCCACAAAAGTAAGTAGAAACTACAATTACACAGTAAAGGCAGTAAGGTCTGCATACCGACGCAACAGAAATACTAAGCAGCATGAAAGAGAAACACCCTCATTCCACTGATGTCTCTGCAGTTTAAAACAAATAATCTGAACTTTCAATAAACCCTGGAGTTTTATTTCTGCGGACTTTATTTTGCTGCGTAGTCAAACACTGCTGGCCTTAATGTTTGCCACCCTGCAACTAGGCACTTTAGCAACCTATTGTCTGCAATTATAACAAATGTGGTATGTCGGCGACAAACAGGGACAATATCTGCGGCTTAGCTGGAAGACCCGATATGTGAGTGTCGAGCCAGCTGTGTAGTCAAGACAGGCAGTCTGTGATTAAAACAATGAACAAAGATATGAGTCATACGCAATCACACATTGTCTCCTTAACAGAAAAATAAAGAGTCATCTCTCTCGCTCCTGCTAACTCCCGCACACAGAGTTGTCTGTACCAAACACAAGAGAAAACAAAGGGAGAATTTTTCACCAACCATTAAAAAAATAATTACACAGATGTCACCAACATGGGAGCCATGAATTACTGGACAGTGTAATATTAGAACAAAATATTTGATATGACCGTTCCATAAAGCACGCTTAGTGTGTGGCTGCTGATAACACTGAGTTGGTTTAAGTGCTCACTCAACATTGATAAGCAATGGCTGAATTATGGTGAAATACAGACTTCATCTTATGTACGCACTTGAGTGCTTACACACACAAGATCATTTACAAATTTTAAACACAAACACACCACGTGCACAAAGAGTTCCGTACAAAAGTGTGGTACAAAAATCGTTCAAAGGCAAATTGCAGTTCAATACCTTTAAATGTTTACAGACAATACAAAATGTAACTTTTAGTTATAAATTGTAACATGTTTTTATTAGAGGAGGGAAAGCTCCACAAAGTAATGTTACTGTCGCATAATAATCTTGACCTATGATTAAATCTCTAAAACTAATATGGGGGGAATTTCCAATGGGATTCATATAGTGGAAAAAAAAGTTGTCGTTTTTCTTTGCGAGGGGAGGGGGTCATTAACGATTCCCTAATTTTTCACTAATTTCATACAGTTTCAGTTTGTCATGTACTGTTGTATATTAAAATATTTTGATGGGAATCATGTTTTAGCATGTATCATGTAAATATATACCCGTCATTAGTGATAATGTTACAAAACTGCACTGGGGTTAACTGCATCGCCGCTGCTAATGCTACAGCAAATGTGGGTCATATTTGGGTCAGAGGTCAGTATAGGTTAGTCCACACCTTCATCACTTTAGTGCTGCGTCAGTGCAGCTTTATCAGTTATGACTGATTTTCAAAACCATTTCTTATTTCTCACCGTCAAAATATACTTTTGCTGTTTGGGAACAGATCATTAGGCCTCTTCTGGTGCTTCTACTTCTTTTCAGGGCGTTTCGTTCACACAGTGATGAAAAATCATTGTCTTTTTAATACCGTTTTTTTTATCCAGACTTAACAGGTATTTTAAAATGTTTAAAATGCATAGATTTCTGTCATATTAGGTCATTTACAGATTATATGCAGACAGCTTAATGCTCACATTTGTAACCATCTACAAGAGGCCCATTCTGAGGTATCCTGTTGCTATAAACTTTTAATAATAGACATACGAAACTAAATCAATTCAGACGTTTCTAGCTGATACATGTTGCTACGTGGAATTAAACCTTATATTACAAACCTCATTTGTATAAGTGACTATATCAGTCGAAGTTACCACAAGTTACCATTCATTTGGAATTTATGTCAGATATTCTTCTCGTGTAGCTCTGCTTTGTTCCTCTCTAACTTCTGAGAACCTCCACTATATCCACCATCTAATCACTAACTGTGCCTCTAAGTGATTTGGTGCTGAACAGTGTGTTTATCTCAGCTCTGATGAGAGGGAAGCTAAAGCGTTTAAAGAATTTGTTAGTCAGCATCACTTCTGCATTCGATCTACTACGGGGCAACTTGTTGACAGTCTTTAATTGTTTGTGTTGTTTCAGATTGCTGGTGCCGTGTCACATTGTCAGCACTGTCTTATTTCTCCTATTTTTATCCTTATTTTAAGTAGAAAAAGCTTTACCTCCTTTGGTCATTTTAGTTGTATTCAGATGATGGATCCACAATAGCTGTTGAGCTCTGACACATAAACACTGTCGTTTCATTAATGTCCACTGTCCCATAAAATAAATAAGCGTAAACATTTGGTAATACTGATTACTGCTGCAGAAGCTTTCTGACTAAGGTGCCTTAGTCCCTGAATATACTACAGAATGACACAGCGGTCCTTTACAACAACCGTGCTGTCATACCGTTGTCATGCTACAGCAGTTCTTTTTCATTCACGTAACTCATCAGATGGAAATGAATGCATGCATTGTGCTGAAAGTGTAACGTAAATCTCTCTGCTTCAGAGCCTTTTCTGACAGGAACAAGGGGAGACCAACAGCACACTGCTCGCAGGAACGGTCCAGGTCATACTCCCTGCACGCATTAGCTCAGTCTTAGTCCACATAACACACAGCCAGTGACTTCACCATGACATCACAAGCAGCTGAGTAACAATCTCGGGTGCCTCTGCTGTCCTTGTCTTCACTCATCAGTACTGATTCAGCTCTCCCACAGTCTGCTGTCCTTGACGTTATCTTTATGAATCCAAGTTTGTCATCTTTTATCAGCTGACAAGCAGTTCCTGTAGAGCATCAAGGCTGCACAACGCTTTCAGTCTGTACTGAAGACTGAAGTCCATCAGACGATAAGGGAGTCTCGGCTGAGGAGAGTGCTCTGATGAGGACAAAAAAAAGTGTAAATGATCAAAGCAACAACACAGCATATCTTATTGAACAGTGTGAGGCAGTAAAGAGAGAGTGGACATTAGCCAAACATGGTTATTATGGTGAAGTGGAACCTGGGACAAAGTGCCTTCAACTCTTTTGTGAGATCACTTGAAGATTCGTTTCAAGACCTTCCTTGATGTCAAAACACTGACTCTTCTTAATCGATGTGTTTTGTAGAAGACGTCTTTGACACGATATAACATTTTGACCCAGGTTTGTGAGTAAGGAGACAACCAGTTATTATTGTTATAGTGGAGTTGGAGATAGAACAGAATCTTCTACCTAGTTTTCATTCTGGTAGCATCTGAACCTGACCTGCCAAAGGTACAACAACAACACTTACTACAGGCCTACAAACCTTTTTTCAACTCTTTCCCAGCCAGTTCCCTGAAGAAGACATTTTAATATGAGGTATTTTCAATTATAAAATACATTAGCTTTTGTGTATAATTCAACTAGAGCTTTCTTCAAGTTCAGGTCGCACGGAAACTTTGAGGCCTAAAAAGTTGCAAGTCCACATTAGCAATTTCTGCATATTTTAGATACTGTTGGCTTTATTTGAGGTGCAGAAATCGACCAGCCAGGGACCGGAGTCAGACAGTGTGTCTCATTTCAAGACTTTCTGCAAATGCAACAGGCGCACAGCAGGGTGAACAAATAGTTGGTAGCATACTCCCAGCCATACGCTATGAGCAGCCAAACTTT